TGAGCTGTGTCTTGCTGTCTTGAGTTTGAGGTGTACAAGGGTGGGGTCCAGGCTCATGGTTCCCACTTCCCAGGCCCGGCCAAGTCCCGTGATGGTGAACGCACTGTCTACTGCAATGTGCACAAACATGAACCTCTAGTGCTGTTCTGTGAGAGCTGTGATACCCTCACCTGTCGAGACTGCCAGCTCAATGCTCACAAGGACCACAAGTAAGTCTTGAGGCGTAGTGGGTAGGTAGATACCACCTACTCCCGGGCCTCACTTGTAGGCCCATCTGCTTGCTTTAGGTACCAGTTCCTGGAGGATGCAGTGAGGAACCAACGCAAGGTCCTAGCCTCAATGGTGAAATGCCTTGGGGATAGACATGCTACATTGCAGAAAAGCACCAAGGAGGTTCGGAGCTCGTAAGTGTGGGTGTCAGGGCTGGGGGGTGGGCCTCAGGGTAAGATGCTTCCTTCCTGGCCTGACTTGCCTTGTTACCTAGGATCCGCCAGGTGTCTGATGTGCAGAAGCGCGTGCAGGTGGATGTCAAGATGGCCATCTTGCAGATCATGAAAGAGCTGAACAAGCGGGGCCGTGTGCTGGTCAACGATGCCCAGGTAAGCCACGTGAGTGTGGGAGAGACCCTGGGTCCCCTCTGCTGGTGAAGAACCCTGCTGTCTTCTGCCCTTCCTGATGGCTTTATTCTCCTTGACCTGCAGAAGGTGACTGAGGGGCAGCAGGAGCGCCTGGAGCGGCAGCACTGGGCCTTGACCAAGATCCAGAAGCATCAGGAACACATCCTGCGGTTTGCTTCTTGGGCTCTGGAGAGTGACAACAACACAGCCTTGTTGCTTTCTAAGAAGCTGGTATGTGCTGTGTCTGCAGGCAGGGGGCCCCAGCATGCTGGGTCTGTTTGGTCCCAGCGTGCTCACGCCCCACCCCTTTCTTCCTCCAGATCTACTTCCAGCTGCATCGAGCTCTCAAGATGATTGTGGACCCCGTGGAGCCACATGGGGAGATGAAGTTCCAGTGGGACCTCAATGCATGGACCAAGAGTGCTGAAGCCTTCGGTAGGTCCCGGTCTTTCCTTGTTTTGTTCAAAACTGGACCCTGCATGCAAAAATGATAGATTCTTCAGGTTGAGACCAGCGTCCCATTTTCTTCCTTTCCTTTTTTTTTTTTGGCACTGTGAATCAAACTCGGGACCTTGCGCTTGCCAGGCAGGCGCTTGTACCGCTGAGCTGTGTTCCCAGCCCTTTCTTCCTCTCCTATTCTAGGGTGCACTCAGCATGGAGAAGGTAGCTGGTTTGCGGGTGGCACAGTTTATGGCAGAATGCTGGGCCTTTGTGTTGCAGCTCTAGCCATTTTTTAAATATATATTTATTTTTTAAATTAAAGCTTACTGGTATGTTTCAGGTATAGGTACTGATCACATTCATTATAGGGAATTTGTACCCGTACATGTTGCAATTTGATTCTTTTTCTCATTCTCTTACCCTCTTTTCAACTCCTCTTCCTTCATTTGTACCTCTTTTTTTTTTTTTTTTAAACTCACTGTATAGCCCAGGCTAGCCTCAAACTTGCAGCAATCTTCCTGCCTCAACTTCCCAAGTGCTGGGATTATAGGTGTACATCACCATGCCTGGCTCAGGCTGGTTTTGAACTACTGTGTAAGCCAGGCTGGCCTTGAGCTCCTCCTGCCTCAGCCCCCAAAGTGCTGGAATTACAGGCGTGTACCACCATGTGGGGGGTTTATTTTTAAATTTTGAGGCAGGGTCTCATTAAATTGCCCAGGCTGGGTTGGTTTGGAATTTGTGATTCTTCTGCCTCAGCTTACTGGTGCTGAAATTACAGCTATACTTCATGCCTGGTTGGGTCCCAGTCTTGGCCTTTGCTCTACCTTCTTACCAGTCCACGTGCTGTACCTACTTAGGCTTCTCTCCTTTTTTTTTAGGCAAGATTGTGGCTGAGCGTCCTGGTACCAACTCCACGGGCCCTACACCCATGGCTCCTCCAAGAGCCCCAGGACCCCTGAGCAAGCAGGGTTCTAGCAGTAGCCAGGTGAGCAGGGGAAAGGACTAGGAATGGGTGGAACACTGGGCCCATTGAGTACTTGCCTCACAGAGGTCCATTGCTGTGTTCTGTTGCAGCCCATGGAGGTCCAGGAAGGCTATGGCTTTGGATCAGGTGAGTGGGTCTGCCTCGGGCATTGGGGGCAAACCTATGGCATGCATACTGCAGCGAGCTACTTGTGTCAATGAAAGTCTAAAAGGTTTGCCATTACTGGCCTAGGGTGTAGCAGGGCCCCACTAAGTGCCTGTGTCTACCCTCAACCTGCCATCCCCTTTTCTGTCTTCTGAGCAGACGACCCCTACTCCAGTGCAGAACCCCATGTGTCTGGCATGAAGCGGTATGTGTGTGTGGTGGTCCCTTGGGTAGTGGATAAGTCGGGTGTAGGGGTAGGGCTGCTCATGCCAAGTGCATCCACAGGTCTCGCTCTGGTGAGGGCGAGGTGAGTGGTCTCATGCGCAAGGTGCCACGTGTGAGCCTAGAACGTCTGGACCTGGACCTTACAGCTGACAGCCAGCCGCCGGTCTTCAAGGTCTTTCCAGGCAGCACCACTGAGGACTACAACCTCATAGTTATTGAGCGTGGTGCTGCGGCAGCTACTGGTCAGCCTGGGCCTGCACCTCCTGGAGCGCCGGGCGCCCCACCCCTCCCTGGCATGGCCATTGTCAAGGTTAGCTTGTCCCAAGGGACCATGATGGGAGTGTGGCATCTGTTATGTACATTTGGATTCTCTTTAACACCCTTTACCATGTTTTAGGAGGAGGAGACAGAGGCTGCCATTGGAGCCCCTCCTGCTGCTGCTGAGGGCCCTGAGACCAAGCCTGTGCTGATGAGTCTGGCTGAGGGCCCTGGTGCTGAAGGCCCCCGCCTGGCCTCACCTAGTGGCAGTACTAGCTCAGGCCTGGAGGTGGTGGCTCCTGAGGCCACCTCAACCCCAGCTGGTGGCCCAGGCAACCTCGATGATAGTGCCACCATCTGCCGTGTCTGCCAGAAGCCAGGTGACCTGGTCATGTGCAACCAGTGCGAGTTTTGCTTCCATCTGGACTGCCACCTGCCTGTTCTGCAGGATGTGCCAGGGTGCGTGTGAGGCTGGGTGTGGTCTCAGCATGGTGTGTCGGGCTGGGTGGGTTCCTGTGCATTCTCTCATTTTTTCACCCTAGGGAGGAGTGGAGCTGCTCACTCTGCCACGTACTCCCTGATCTGAAAGAGGAGGATGGCAGCCTGAGCATGGATGGTGCAGACAGTGCTGGTGTGGTAGCCAAGCTCTCCCCAGCCAACCAGCAGGTGAGTGTCCAGCTATTCAAATGTGGGTAACGCAGTGGTTTTACCCTCCTGCATTCTGCAGTTCTGTCTTGTCCTGTCCTGTCCTGTTTAGAAATGTGAGCGTGTCCTGCTGGCTCTGTTTTGCCATGAGCCCTGCCGTCCCCTGCACCAGTTGGCTACAGACTCTACCTTCTCCGTGGTGAGTGCAGTTTAGAACAGGAAAGGAAGGAAATGTGGAATGTTGGGTCTCACCATCAAGATGTATGTCATTTTTGCCCACAGGAGCAGCCTGGTGGCACCCTGGACCTGACCCTGATCCGTGCCCGCCTGCAGGAAAAGCTGTCACCCCCTTACAGCTCTCCCCAGGAGTTTGCCCAAGATGTGGGTCGCATGTTTAAGCAGTTTAACAAGCTGACAGAGGTGAGCATGGGATGAGGGTGTGGCCATGGCCTGTCGTGGGACAGGGCAAATGGGGTTATGGAAGTTACCCACCCATCCATTATCCCCTTGCTTGACCTAGGACAAGGCCGATGTGCAGTCCATCATTGGCCTGCAGCGCTTCTTCGAGACGCGCATGAATGAAGCCTTCGGTGACACCAAGTTCTCTGCTGTGCTGGTGGAACCCCCGCCGTTGAGCTTGCCGGGTGCTGGTCTAAGTTCCCAGGAGCTGTCTGGTGGCCCTGGTGATGGTCCCTGAATCTGGGACCCTGTGGGCAGCTTGGCCCTGCTCTGTGTCCTATTACCCTCATCCTACCCCTTTGTGGCCTGACTCTCACTCCTTGATGGTCCCTATGCCCGTCCCTCACAAAATGGTTTTTACTTCTGTGGATTTAATAAAAATTTCACTGGTTCCTCAGGCCTTGGCTGGTTAGGGGCTGTGGTCCTGGTCTCTTGTCCACATCTCCTCCTCACCATCAAGCATTGGAAAAGTATGGGATCTTTCCTGGGCCTCCTTGAACCTTTCTGGGTGCCAACAGGATGGGGAAGAACCTCTCTTGGGCCTTGCCTTGGGGGGTGTGTGTGGAGGGGAGGACAACAGTTAACCTCGTAAGGCATATGTAGACCAGAACCTGTCAAGGACCCTGGTGGGTAGGCCTGGGCTCAACTGTGGGCCTGAAAAAAACCTCGTTTGTCATGTACCTTGTAATAGCCATTCTTCAGCGTTTCCAAGGTTTTCCCTTGGAGATCTCATCAGACGGGTATGCAGAGTTCTGAGGGTTTTTCTGTTACTGTTTATCCTTGTTCTGTGCTTCCTGGCTGCTCTCCAGCTGAGCCCTAGTGAGATACCCAAGTTGGGCTGGCTATTGACTCCCATTGGTCTAGACAGCTTTTTATTTCATGGTATTGCGAATTGAAGAGGACATTTGCCCTGAGCTAACTTCTTGCTGAATTAGGCTGGACTTGAAATCGTGATCCTCCCTCTCTGCCTCCCAGAGTGTTGGGATAAACAGGCATGTGGAACTATGCCTGGTCTTTAAATTCTCATTAAGCCATCATTATATAGAACTTTGCTTGCTGTTAAAATTGATGGATTCAGGGCTAGATTTGGGATGGTACCGGTGTGTTGGGAGACTTAGGTACTAGGCCAAAGGCTACAGGTGGGCATGGCTTGCCTACCCCTTTCCCAGACCCTAACCCAGGGACACAGTCTGGCCCCATGAATGCCAGTCACACCAGCTGGAGAATTAGCATTCAATTTCATTTATTACAGATAAGCACGGTAAAGACCCTGGGTGTCCATTCTGCCCTTTCCCCAGTGGCAGGGGTGTGGTCAGTCTCTCCGAAGGTTCTTGAGCCGCTCTTCTAGGTCTGCATCAGCATCAGCCAAGGCTGAAGCTGTGGCCTCTGCTTTCTTCCCACCAGCAGCCACACTGAGTGAGCCTCCAGTGGAGGGGAGATCTGCGAGGAGAGTGGATGTTAGAGCAGAAAGTAATGCAGGAGATGAGGGGGTCTGGGCTGTTTGTGACTCAGGTGGGAAATGAAGTGGGTCTGTGGCACTCACTCGACAGCTCGTCTGTCAGGCTCAGTCCCAGCTCATCTAGGACCTGGGACACTACAGCATCACTAAGGAAGCAAAAGAACGAAGAGAACTTCGATGAAGGCTATGCATGGGTGAGGACAAGAAAAAGCCCCCACCTTCCCACCCAGTTTCTTGTCTTTTTGAGACAGGGTCTCACTGTGTAGTTCAGGCTGGCCTTGAGCTCACTTTGTAGCCTAGGCTGGTCTCAAAGTCAGAGCAATGGTCCTGCCTCAGCCTGCCAAGTGCAGGGATTACAGGTGTGTGACACCATGCCCGGTTCCCACAGTTGCTTCATACCTCTCCTCTTCATCTTCCTCATCTCCCATGGCATCGTCGATGGCATCATTCATCATCTCCTCCTTCATGTCCATGATCTCTGCCTGCCGCTCAAACTCCATCATGATCTTCTGGATCTGGGGCAATTTCAGCTGGAAGTAGGGGGAGGGTGAGTTTGGTCTCTGATGGTCAGTGGGGGTGGGGAGGGGAATGGGGAGCGACACACCTGTCTGTTCATGGTACCCATGGCCTTGGTGACCCCCTTCATGGCTTGTGCCATTGAGTTGTTGGACTTCAGTGTCTGTATCTTCAGGGACACAGCCTGGATGTTGGCCCGCATCAAAACAAACTTGCGCACATAGCGCCGTGTACGCACTAGGTCTTTTGCCATGATGCGCACAGCATCCTGTAGAGTGGACAAGTGTGTGAAGGGTACATCTGAAGAATTAGGCTTTAGCAAAGTTAATCCCAATAGTCAATGGTTCTTCCCTTCTGATTTCACCTGCTTGCATTTCCCCTTATAAGCTAAGGCTCACTCATGAATCTTTTTTCCCACTTCCATATCTAGTGTCACTCCCTGAGTTTAAACACCCTGTTTTGGTCCCCAGCCTGGACAGAGAAAGCCCTGGGTCTGATCTTCAGCACTTGTGGATTGTATTTGGCCAGCTTGGGCTGCATAGCAAAATCCTGTCTCAAATGGAAAAATAAAACACAAAGGCTCTACTAGTCTTTTCATTCTCGTTCTCCTCTCACTGGCCTTTTGGTCAAAGCCTCTTTAAGAATGTTTTTCAATACTGGGAACCAGGGTCTACACTGAACTACATCCCCAGGCATTTAAATTTTTTTTCCATTTTAGCCAAGTATGGACACATGCTTGTGGCAATTGCAGCACCCTGGAAGGTAGAGGCAGGACATGAGCTGGCCTGGGCAGTTTAGCAAAATCGTGTCTTTAAACAGGCTGGGATCCTGCCTCGCTCTCCCACTGCGCTGAGATGACAGCTGTGAGTGGCCATACTCAACTCCAAAGCTTACTCTCTCTGTCACCCGTTACCGCTGTGCCCACTGTTCACAAGCCTTGGTCTGGTGTCCACCTCTCACCTCACTCTTGCTTTCCCAGTTTGCTAACACTTGCCAGCTATTGTGCTTGCACGATGCAGCCTGAGGCCAAATCTTCAGAAGCTCAATCTCAACACTCAAGAGCCTCGGCTGATACAACTACCAAGGAGGTGGTGCTAGCAGACTGCTAAACTAGGGAAGCCGCTCATCCTTCACTCAGCTTTCGTCAAAGGACTTGTCTTTTAGTGTCCTGTCTTGTTCCCTATCACTGTGGTGTGTGGCCAAGAAATGCCACCTTGCCCTGTGTCCCAGCCCCTGATCGTGGGCACTTACCATCTGCCCCTGCTTGGCCATCTTTTTGATGTCTGCAATGATTTTCTTCTCCTGAGTCTCCAGCTTCTGTCGCTCCCGGTCTAGCTCTCGCATGGCACGGTTTAGAGCCCGCTGGTTCTGGCGCAGCAGCTCCTCTGGCGTCTTTCGGCGCCCAAATAACAGGTCCATGGTGGTTAAGTCCAATGGCAGACCTGGGGGAGTAAGGCTGGGCTATAGCGGGTGGGGCCCAGAAGGAGGCAAGAAAGAAAACAGGTTCATGCAGCGGGTGGGTGAGGACAGGAGGTATGAAAGAGCAGAAGGAAGCAGCCATGGGACATAAGGGAGGCTAGCCAGACCTAAAAATCACCCACTACGCTGGCCCAAGCCCCCCTCCATCCCCTTGTCCACACAGACGTCAGGGCCTGAAGCACTTTCTAGAGCCAAAGGTGTGGTTCTGGCATCTTGGATGGGGTGGGGTTGGCGGGACTAGGCAGCGCTACTGTATTTGGGACCCTGAGCACGTCGGACAGGACAGCTGTGGCAGAGTGGGCGTGGGGCTCTGGGCAGCACAGTGGCATGCACACAGGGACCCTGGCTTCGGAGGACACAGGTGGGCGTACTCCACGCGCCGAAACACGGCGGTGCCGGGAACCCGAGAAGAGGATAAGGTTGCGGCAGGACTCCGGTGCACCCGATGCCAGGGCCCGAGGTAAGTTCCGGGACGCCGTGTCCCGCCCAGACCTGCGGCCCAGGGGGGGCCACTCACCGGAGCTGGCACGGAGGCTCGCTTCCGCTTCCGGGTCACGTTCCCCTCGCTCGGATCACCGGCGTACCCAGCAACGGTGGCCCCTCGCTCCTGTCGCCTCCGCTACCGCCGCCGTTTCCGGATCAAACGACCTGACGCTACACACCCCGCCCATACGCGGAATGCTGGGAAGTAGCGTGAGCGCGCACATGCGCGGAGGCGACCGGCAGCCAGGCGCATGCGCAATCCCCACGAGCTCTCGCCAGCCGAGTCCCGCCCTCGCGAGCCAGGGTCGCAGCTGTGCGACAGTAGCGCCCGTTTGTCCCCCCCTTACAAGTCCCGCCTCCCACCGCCTTAGGACACTTCATCCGCGGAATCCTGACTTCCGCTGGAAGGCTTGGAGAGCGTTAGGCAGGAGCCTCCCCCACCGGCCTGCACATGGCAGAGAGCAGTAGTGGCCGCGGAGGTTGCGCTTTCCCCTCTGCAGGCAGGGGCTGATGGAGTCCCCGATCCTGCCCAGATCAGCGGCCCGAGATAACACCCTTGAGCGCACGCACACCTTACCTGGCCCTCCCGCCCCACGGAAGGACGAGGCAGAGGCCATGCAGTAACATTCCCCTTTAATAGCCTGCTATGACCTCCGGCGGTGGAAAGGGGGGTTGCCCGGGCCCAGCTACCCAGGCCCCTGGCCTTCACACCCCACAGCCCAGAGCCCAGAGTCAGGGGCTGGAAAGCACCCAGCGGGGGGCTAGGCAAACCAATTCATTTCCCATCGCTGAGCAGGTCAGGGGGGAGGAAGTGCCAACCGGAATCATGTGATGGTTAAAAAAAAAATACCTAGGGGCAGGTGGCAAGGAGGGGAGGCAAGGCCAAGGCAGGGATTCCTCCACTGGCCATTTCCCACCCACCTCCCGTGTCCCCCAATAAATATTTGCAGGGGATGCCTGGGCTGGCGGCCCTGGCGGGGTGGGTATGCGCCCCCTATTTCAGGCAGCGTTCGAAATAGGTGGAGCCGATGTAGCCACCTCGCATGGAGCGCTGCACGTTCTGCTCGAACAGCCGCCGGTTGTTCTGCAGGACCTCGGCGGCCTCCTTGTTCAGTGGGTCCTCGGGGTTGGGCTCCTGTAGCCAGTACAAGCAGGGTCAATGGGCCCAAGGGCAGAAGGCCAACCTTCCCCGGCCCCAAATGCTCACCCCTACTCACCAAGAAGAGATACTGCAGGCCATAAATTATGGAGTTTATCGTAAGGACTGGCTTCCAGTCCTCTCTGTGGACAGAGAGCATCAGGGTGAGGGCTATTGAGTAGGAAGAGATTGCCACAGGCCCTGTTGGTTGGTACTGGACAGGTCGGGTTCACAGAATGCAGAGTGAAGATATGAGAAGCCAGGGAAAAGCATGGAGCAGGACACGCCAGGGGAAAAGCCAGTTAGGAAGATGACTGCCATAGTGGGAGGGAAGGGACAGAGGGATACAGTGCCCAAGATGATGAGGGGGCCTGGCAGGCAGGGCTGGGGAGGGCAGTGGAGGGCCGGTACTCTCACCTGAGGATGTTGAGGCAGACGTTACCCTCAAGGTCAATGTTGGGGTGATAAACCATAGTCTCACACTTCACCTTGGGGGGGTCATGTGGGTAACCTTGGCCCACCTGGCTCCAAGAAAAGATGAAGAGAGGTGGGGAGGCAGGGTCTCAGCTGCTGCCTCCTCAGTCAACAAAGCCACCTCTGTCCCTTTGGTTTTCTTTTTTTCAGACAGGGTCTCACTACACAGTTCAGGCTGGTCTTGAGCTCACTTTGTAGCCCAGGCTGGCCTTAAACTTGAGACAATCCTCCTGCCTCGGCCTCCCGAGTGCTGGGATTATAGGCATGTGCCACCACACCTGCTTCTGCTCTTTTGGGACTCACCTTAAAACTGAACACAAACTTTCCACTCTTGTAGAAGCCCTGGAAGGGGAAGAGAGAAAGTGGCATTAGGGTCATATTTTGCATGGCCTGCAGGTTCCCCTCCTTTCAGTGGAGCCACCCTGGTCTGTTCCTAGTCTGTTCCTGAAGTCCAGTCATACATGTTTTTACCTCATCAGGACAGATAACCAGCTTGAAGTTGAGGAGGTCGTCTGGGTCTGAGAAGCTGATGTCACACGTTTTGGGCAGGTTTAGCTCGTTTATATCTGCAAGGAGAGGACGGGGACAGAGAGGGAGAGAAAAAAAGAGGCCAAGTGAGAGAAAAGGAGCGCTTGGCAGGTGTCAGCAGAGGGCCTATGGCGTTTGGGTTCTAGGGTCTCCAAGGAGGCTCTTTTGCATACACAGCCCAAACCTGCCTTCCACTTCCTGGGACAAGGTGAACCCTAACTCCCCTAAGCCCACAGCTCTCAGTCGCCCGAAACTAGCTCTCAAATGCCCCCAAGTCACATGTGGCCAGGACTGAAGTTCTGGCCTCCAACAGCTTCTGAGCACTACAGACCCCAGGCTCCCCAGCCACGACCTCAACTCTCCATTATGTACCCGTTCACCGAGATCCAAGGACGCTGACACCTCCCCTCGCGCAGACCGGCCCCCTCAGACCACCCCTGGGTTCACTCCTTCTCCGGGTGTCACTCCAAACGCAGGTTCCCATCTAATCTTACGCTCCTCGACCCCAGCCCATCTCTGAATCTGAGAGCTGCAGCATGATGGCCTACATTCTCTCTCCCGCTTTCCATTCCCCGGCTCCCACATCCCTCCCTCGTCCACCTGTCACGGCCAGACCCCAGAATAATATGCTAAATCATCCCTCGTGTCCCCAGTTCCTGGCCCCCGCTACTCCTTCCCTGCTCGGTCTCACCCCAAACCGAAGTTCGAGCCTGAAGCCCTGGCTCTCGGCACCCGCAGCACTCCGATTCCGGCCCCCCAATGCCGGACGCCAGGCCCCCCAACAGCCCTCCCCTCCCCCGGCCCGAGCCACCACCGTGCGCCCTGCTCCCGCGCCGCGGCTCCGGGCCCAGGCCCTAGCCCGACCCACCCCCCGGCGCCCTACCCTTCTGGATCCGCAGCTGCGCTGCCGACGCCTTCTTGCTGCTGCCCTTGGTGCCGCCAGCCGACTCCTCCTCCTTCTTCTGCTGCTTCAGCGAGAACAGCTTGATCATCCTGCCGCCGCCGCCGCTGCTGTCGCCGCCGCCGCGGGGCCCGGGACCCTGGCTACCGGCCCCCCGCTGCCTCCCGCGTCGCTTCC